GAAAACTCAGTTTTCCATGATATGGACCCTTTAACCACTTCCAAAGCTACATATTGCAATCCAATATGTAATCAAATGCCTAATCAATTCATTAACTGAAGTCAGATGCTGATGACACTGGAAAAAATCCTTCTATTATCTGTTTATTCTATTCTCTTATACTATTATACATTTTTATTTACTCTTTTAACCCACATATCAATAACTTCAATAGCAAAAATGGTTAAATTTTTCCTGTATCTATGTTAATCTGTTATTTATGTTTATCTGTGCTCTTCCTATTTCTATATAATGCTTTTTCTGTGTTTTTACTATATAACTAATATGTAGTACGTAAGCACTGGTAAAGTTTCACTACCCAGACCACATATAAGCAAAAAGTTTTTAAACCACACCTTTTGGTGATGTCACGAAAACCAGCACCTTTACACATCCACCTAGAACCTTCAGAACGTGGTCCTGCTCATTCACAGTGAAGTTGTAAGGCGTAAGACTGCTTTCTGAATGAGGTACAATACAAGGCAGCCAATCAGACGAGAGATCATTTACATATATGAGTTTTAGAGGCACTACAACAAACAGCCTGTTTAATTGTAAGGGATTAAGAGAAGCTGGGGCATGGGCATGTAAAAATGTATAAAAACAAACAAAAAAAAATGTTCTGAGAGGAGCTCAGATGGAAAGAAGAACATCCAAGAAAAAGTGTAGGATGTGGGCCTTAAAACTATTTTCATTTCTGGACTAAGACTTTCTCACAGAACTGTATTTGCTTCGGCAAACATTCAGAACATGTTCAAACATTTAATATTTAAAAAACATTCCACCGCAAACAGCTCTAAGGAAAGAATTTGAAATTGGGAACTCATGAAAAATCCAACCTGTACTCCAAGATTCTACACTGTGCATCAAACCAAAAGGTTCCACTGGCCTCCTCTCGCTCCTCACCGCAGGGTGTCCCATTTACAGATTGTGGCGTGTGGCCTTCCTGCTCTGGGCACGACCACATCCACCAGGGCACGGCTCCCCTTCGCTCATAAAGGACCATTTTAGGCTTACGCGCCTTCCCTCGAGCAGAAAAGCTAAACTCTGGTTTGTCCGGTTTTGGGATGACAGGAGCAGAGCTAACCTCAGGAACGGCAGGCAAGACTGCTCTCCAAAAGGGGAAAAACAGCGAAGCTCCTAAAATATCTTGGAGCAGTGAAAGGAGGAATTCCTCTGTAAAGCTCTCAAATCATGTTTCTGCCTCCAAATCAGACCAGATCCTCGTAGATACAACACCTGAACTCTAAATTAAGGACAGCTGAGGCTTTTAGACAAGGGATGCCAAATTATGAGGTTTCATTTACTGAAGGATTTTCAATTCGACAGACTGTAATAGACTACAGGAGGTTTAGGGGGCGATATGGTTTACTATGGCCCAATCCCATTTTACCCCTCGCCCCTACCACTTAGCCCTTAGCCCTCTGTTTTGCATGTTCACGTCTAGGGTTAGGGGGTCCCAATTCTCATTGAGATAGAAGGGTAGGGTGAAGAGTTAGGACTACATGGCCCTCCAAACGGAGGTTTTTCAGAGACTCCAAACGGAGTGATATGAGAAAAAATAAGAAAAACCCGCTAAACCGCTAAAAACAGGCAAGATGGCTGAGCAAGAGACCAAATAAACCCACAAAGAGAATTTTCTCCGCTAAAAATTACAATAACCATTGTATTCTCTTAGGTTAATGTCATTTCAGTGTATTATGGTCCTTTTCTCCATAACAAGCATAAAAATCGCTAATTGCATGCTAATATCTCGGCAGCTAGCTAGCTAACTTTCCAGTTCCACCTTAAACAGTCCTGCAGTTCTGACGCCTGAAATAACTGCTGCACCATTTAAGGTGGAACAGGACAATTCTAACAAGAAGAACCAAAGAATTAGGGGTGGGTGATAATAAATAATTGCCCCCCTCTTTGAAGATCATATGATGCCCTAAATGTAACTAAAGCCCAGCAGTGAGGAGCTGAACTTTACCCTCCTCTGCTGTCACTGCAGACTGGCAGGGTCGCCTACAGAGCAGCGCTGGTAGCTGTTAATGAAGTGATGCTCTTTGGACATGAAATCAAAGTAGCTTACGCAGCTCCGCACACGAAAAACAGATTCACCCACTCCGACTACAGTCTGTATCTTCCAAATGAAGACGGGGTCTTGTGTGCAGTTGTTTAGACCTTTTGCTAAGCTAAAGTTAGCTTAAAATGCTAACATCCAGATGGGCAGCTGCTGGGCCAGACCTCACACTCGACAACCACGAAGCAACATTCTAGCAACCACCTGGAATACAACAGCAACCACATTGCAACACCCTAGCAACAACATAGAATACCACAGCAAACAGCCTAGCAACCACCTGGGATACCATAGCAACCATCCATCAACACCACAGCAACCACCCAGCAACTACTTTGGATAACATGGCAACCTAGCGAGACCCAAGCAACCAACTGGAACACAACAGTAACCACCCAGCAAGACCCAGCAACCACCCAGATACAATAGCAACCATCGAGACCCTGCAACCCTATGGAATATCTAGCAATTACAGAGACCAACATAGTAACCACCTAGCAAGACCTTAGTAACCACTGGGATACCACAGCACTCACCTAGCAACACGTTAGCAACCACATAGGACAGCATAGCTATAACCCAACCACGCACTTGCAGCCCAGTGGGAACTGCGTAAGCAGTGAAAACACACCAGCTTTTCTTCTGGAAATGCATTTCTCTAGCTAAAATTGCAACGTTTTCAATTTAAAAATCGCACTTTCACGTTTCCATTTCGAAAAAATAAATGAAATCTGTTCCTGAGACTGCAGCTGGGTGACCTGAAGCAAACGAGCCTGCTCAGCTCCAAAAATCAAACTTCACTTAGTACCAAACTGTTTATCCAGAGTCTAATTAAACACTAAACTGTTGGCGAGCGCAGCTCTCCAGGAGAGGAATTTCTGCAGCCTGTGCTGAAGCTGCTTGGAGCGAACTGTCAGGCCGTTCGGGGGCGAGCAGCAGCTTTCAGGGCCATTTTTCTTCTCACGTCTCCAGTGTTTCTCACACTTCCCCGACAGATCTTAGCACCTCCACACTAGCAGACCCCTATTCTCTCCAACCGACCACAAATCCCTCAAATCAAATCCTACAGGCTTGGACATATTTCTCTGAGGTAACGTCAGGAGGAAATGAAACTAGATAGATCTATTTTTAAAATACAAACAGCAAGATAACATGTCTCAACCATGTTGCCGGTTCTGGTCTTGAGACGCCTGCCTCTTATTGTCTGGGTACAATCAAATCTAGAGTGCGGTAATCCCCTAGCCTGTCAATTAGAAGGTGCTACCTTCTCATTAGGAGCCTTGTCAAAGTGGCATATCATGGTAACCAAGGGGAACACCATCTCCAACCCATTCTCAAACAGGACAGCACTATGTAGGTTATCACTGCATACAAATGGAAATATCAAAGTTAAAACTCCAGCAGCACTGCTGTGTCCGATCCACTCGTACCAGCACAACACACACTAACACACCACCACCACATCAGTGTCACTACTGCTGAGAATGACCCACCACCCAAATAATACCTCCTCTGTGGGGGTCCTGACCACTGAAGAACAGGGTAAAAGGGGGCTAACAAAGTATCAGAGAAACAGATGGACTACAGTCTGTAACTGTGGATCTACAGAATTAACTATACGGTAAAATGAGCTGATAAAATGGACAATGAGTGATATAGAAGGACCTAATAAAGTGTCCAGTGAGTGTATGTGCACCCAGACAACGATAATGTGGATTTTCTGTTACTCAGTCAGGAGAACTGACCTATAGTGTACTTTAAACACAGGTCACACACTTACGATTAAAGTCATAGTTCAGCAAAAACTCAATTTATACAGTTTTCCCTCTTGCCCTAACTGCAGTTGAGCAGCCAGGCATTGTTTGGTGTCTAACATTTGCTTTTTTTAGTATTGCACTGGAGCTACGAGGCTAATAAAGCTCACAAGTAAGGGAAGCTTATAACACTCAGTGAGTATAATGCTAACCGCATGCCTAACGGACCTTCCTAAAACTGTGTGGAGTTGTTAAGTAAACTCGAATAGACTTACTTGCAGTTTGACACTGTACTAGAGCCAGTTTGAACGAAGCCTGGTCACTTCCTATTTCTCTCATTATATCGAAGACACTAGAGGGCGCCCATGAGCAAGTCCTCAACGAATGGGGTTGAACAGGGATTAACAACAAAAATAAAAAACTAGAAACACATTTCAAGTCATTTATGTGAAATCTTGATGTATTTCACTACAAGCATTACGGCTTCTGAACGCTAAATAATTGGTTAGCATTACGGCTACTGAGTGCTTAATGGTTGGTGATTTCTGATTGGCTGGCGAACAAATCAGCTCATTTGTACTTACTGATGTTATGAACGTACATAAGGCACTGTAAATGGAGTTCACTGAAATATTTGATGCTATTCTGTGTTCAGAAAATTTACAAACTACGATTTTTGGACCATTAATTTTGGACAAATTTGGGAGCACCCTCTAGCATCTGACAGACCCAGAAGACATTACTGAGTCAGCTGTCCTTACTAGAAATACTGCTATATATAAACATAGCTTAAAAACATTAACAGCAGCAGCAGAAATCTTGAAGTCTGTACTTCTGCGTTTTGTCCATTTTTATGGACAACTGTGTGTTATGCACTGTTAGAAACCAAGTAAGTCCAGAGATTACTGAACAACTCCACTAGTGTGGCACAAGATGCTCTACGGTGGGTAATAAGCTTCAACCACAAAGCCAAAGAAGCAAACTTCAGACACCAAACATGTCTTGGCTGGCTACATCCGTAATAAGGAGATTTTGCTGAACTGCATTAAGCTGTTTTCATTTGTCTTGTTTATAAGTTTCATGTGCACACAACATAATACAGGCAAACCACAGCCTGTAAAAACAGATCAGAGCTCACGTACCTCTACGTCCTGCAGGCTGAAGTCGTTCTGGTCTTTGAAATTGGCTGCTCCAGCACTGAGCTCCATCAGCATCTTGGCAATCTCGGGCTTTATGGCCGCTGTGAGCCGGCTAGCGGCCTCCATCACATGTTCCTGCACGTCCTTCAGCTGCATGGCCGCTTTGGAGTAGCGTGAGTTCCGGAAAACGCTGCCGAAGAGCTCGGTCAGGAAGGCGCTGGCGCGGCAGAAGACGTTCAGCGCGTCCAGGTACTTAGAGATGCCCTGCTGGATGTCCGCGATGGCTGTGGTGGCGTTGGCAGCTGAAGGGTCATGGCAGCCGGACGGGGAGGAGCCTACAGGTGCCAGGGGGGAAGGGGCAGAGCAGGAAGTCCCAAGAGGGGCACTGAGGGCACGGCTGAGCTCTGGCATCGCTGGGTATTGCTGGTGCTGCTGCTGCACTTTCTGCTTGGACCCGCCAAGCAAGAAGCGCCGCTTATAGTCCATTTTACTTTCTTGCACGCTGCAACAATACATAAGTGTCGGACGCACCCGGGAAGCGCCTTTTTCCACCGCAGGCTGGGGCGAGGGCTGCTCTTTCACCTTGTTTTCTTTTTTTTTTGGGAGTTTTTCAAAAGCGATGACAACTTCTCCTTCGCCTGCGCAACTAGCTCTGACTTTCGGAAATCAAGTAAATTGGTAGCTTAAAGCCTCCATGAGCCAGAGAGTCATGACCGTATTCCTTGATGCAGCAGAAAGGAGAGAAAAGAGAAAGAGAACGGTTTTCAAGCAAAAAAAAATCCACTTATTTTCCCCTTAAATTTGTTCACAAGTGGCTCCAATCCTCTTCACACCTTGAGTCCTGGGTAAACTCCAAAAGTGCATATATCCTTCAAACGGAAGCAGAAATCCTTCTTATTGTAGTACTGTATCTTTATATATATGCGTATATATAGACCTCTAATAAAAAATAGAAAAAAAGCTTTAAAAGCTGTCAGCAAAAAACAGTACGATTACTGAGGTGAGAGGAAAAAAAAATAATAACAATAATGGGCCACTGGTCAACAGTAAGGGGTGAAAAATGAATGTACAAGTCCAGCTAGAGGACAGTGGTGCCTTGGCACAGACTGAACGTTGGCAGGCTGGTGCTGTCGTCCGCTAGGCTGACAGATCCAGTCTGTCAGAGCGAGCTGGGTGTGAAGAGAAACAGAGGGAGAGAGAAAATGAGAGAGAGAGAGAAAGGCAGCTCGATAAGATAAAACTCGGCTGCTGGGAAACCAGTCCGGATCCCCGTTTAGACTTCCTCCCCGAAGCGTTTGAGGTAGTTATTACTCACTAAAGAAAACAAAATGTGCTCGCACGTTCTGGATCCTCTGTGATCGCGGTCCGGAGCAACACAACAGTACGGCGCGTCTGTAAGGCCTCGCGGTCACTTCCTGAGGGACAGAGAGAGAGAGAGAGAGAGAAGGGTGTCACAGTGATATCAGAGGAAGGATGCTCTTTGACATTGTCCATTCGCTTCCTGGTGCACAGAGTAACCCTTAGAAATCTAGTGTTACTCTTTTGCTGTACTATATTTTTTATCAACAACGACGACGACAACAACACCACGACGACGACGACGACAACGATGACATTTATTTTGTACAGCACTTTTCTCACATCCAAGGACAAATACATAGTCATTTAGGAGTTAATTAAAAATCAATTACTCTACTCAAAAAACGAATAAATTAAAATGTGCACTGTCAATTAATCAGCCTAGTGATCATTTGGGAATCTGAATGATTAACAGGGTATAAAGTGGTCAGGTTATACAGTGTGGAAATTCTCCACAAGGGGGAGCTATTAGTACTCGCTTTTGCGTGCAATGCTGAAAGAAAGGAAACCCACACCAGCAGGATTTCATGAAATGTACGTTCCAAATTGTATGTTTATGAAATAAAATTAAATGTTTGCTGTTTTAATAATAACAACAACAAAATTATACAATTTATGCATGTAAAAAAAAACTGTATGATTACTTGAGTAAATGCTATCATCAAATCAAGAGTGACGGGCCTAAAAACTAAACACATCAGTTATACAATTAATTACATCCATATTTACGTTCTATATCGACAGATTTAAGTCTGCACATCTGACTTTTGTTTCTGTCAAAAAAAATAAACGTGGCACAAACATAAAGGTTTTCATTCTGCAAAATAAGATTAAAGAAGAATAATTTTGTCAAATTCAAAATCATAAAAGACATTTCCTACTTGCAAACACAAATGTGATACGAATTAAAAGTATAGAACCTGCAATTTCTAAAGAGTTTATCCAGTTGATTCTCTGGTTCACCTCCCCCTCCCACCACCCTCATGTGTAATCCAGTGAAAACGCTCAGCTAGAGACCCTCCCAGATACAGTGTTTAATAATCTACACGGGCTGTTGCTAAAACATGACGTCAAACTCCAGCGCAAGCCGTGCTAGACGGAGACCATCACTCTAGAACTCCACACATTACTCATGGAACGAGTGGACAGGACCATCAGAAGTGTGAGCCAAGACTAGCATTGTTCAGAAACAGAGGGGAATTGTACTGAAGGAAACACAATACAACTGTTTCTGCCAGAGCCACAGTTTTATGCCACCATGCAAAACCACCACCGCTACGTTTGCATGGCTGGAAACAGAAATGCTACAGAACTCTATTCACACAGAAACCCACATCTGAAGTCAAAGGTTCATGCTCAGCAGAGTGTAGCGACAGCTTGACGACCTTTTGGGCAATTTTATGTTTTCCAATCAGCAAAGACATGTTTGGTGTATGAAGCTTGACAGCTAACAAATAATGGATGCTTACAGCCCACCAATTAGCGGAACGCCAACTGCATGTCTAAATGATCAGATATGTGCCTCAAATGGTGTTGAGTTGTTAAATGATCCAAGTAGACTTGCTGATGTTTGATGTATCTATTTACTCCAGAAGAGCAGAACGTTTAGGCGGCACTAGAATATTGTTCTATTCATTTTACTGCCTTTGTAACCCAATAGAAATTAAAGTTATATTTCTCCATTATTTCTCCAGGAAATAATTTCCCATCTCCCTTTTCTACATTTTATAAATTGCCAGATAAATAAAAGAGATCAAAACATAGTGAGTTTTAGAATACAATAAATAAATAAATAAAACAATAAATAAAACAATGTAGGTAAAGTGCAAAAAAGCCCAAAGGTCTTGTACTAGGAACTTTCAATTCAATTAAATTACAATTAAATACATTTTATGCTTAAACAGGAAAAAAAAGAACAACATTAGCCTGAGCCCCTGATTCCCATACTGATGCCAACGTTAAAAAATATGTTGCATAGCTAAAAACTGCAGGAGCAAAGTCGCAGAAAAGGAAAGGAACGGTCAAAGAAAAATTGGAGGGTTAGAGATCTCACTTTATTACTTTGGATCAAAGTAAAGGATGATGGGGCAAACCTGTACGCCAGGTTAACATGGATGACATTCTAACTACTACAAACGAGGGCTTGGCCAACATTAAATTTTGTAAGCGATACAGATATAATCAGATACAAGGTGCCAACAACTCTTAACTCCTGCTGAGGCTGCAACCAAACATGTAGGTACCACTCAGGCACGTGTTACTGCTACTCCATTTACAGTGTAATTCAGTGGAGATATGAAGTGGAAATTCTGATCAGGCGAAACAAATAACTCTCCCTAACAGGGAGGTTAACAGCTCCCAATCTGCACCTCTATCTCTGTGGAGCGACTGAGCCACAGTATAAAAATCCCCTCACACTCAATTTCAGCCAGAAGATAAGAGACCTCAGTTTACAGAGAAACACAAGATCAGACTGTAAACACGTATTGTATTATGAAATGTGTGTATCGTTACACTCATATCTTCACAAATACTGATAAATATGCAGGTCATCAATATCAGCCAACATTATCAAACTATTATAAACAGAACATATGGTTCCCTTAACTATCACAGGCATGAGATATGGATATACTATAAATCACTCTATAAATCCATCTTATGTGCAAGATTCATCAACTTGCCTTCGCAACCAGAACAATGAAAAGCAGACAGTAGCAGAATAGTTAGGCTTCATGATGGCTCAGATTACCGGTTTTAATCTATGTGATGTACAGTTATCAATAAAAATATACAAATATGTCATAAACACAGAAGCAAATCTATTAGGGATTACTACACAACTCCACACTGTCTGAGCAAAGAGTGTGATGATTTAAGCCTGTTGTTAGCATTATGCTAACTGTTGCCTATAAACCTGCATTACTTAGCTCCATTAGCCACGCAGCTCCAGTGCAAAACTAATTAAGCAAACTTTAGACACCAAACATGTCCTGGCACTGGTGTAAATGTTGCTCGTTTGGTCTCCCGAGTGATCTAACGCTGCTACGCGGAAACTGACATCAACTGGCTTCTGTGGAAAACACGACTCGCGGTCAGTGACCCTGCAGGATGGGCGTGTTATGACAGGAGGCAGATGGGCCTGCGTGAATCAGGGTGCTGGTTATGGACGAGGCGTGAGAGACGAGTTGGTGGGGACACAGGATGTGGCTGGACGACAGCACGGCTACACAGGAGAAAATCACACTGAACCTCACATTGTGCTGCACGTTTATCAACCATAAAAACATTCCACAACCCAGCTCTGTTTGCTCCCGGCACTCGACTGACCTCCAAACCTCTTCCTTTCACAAACACAGTGTGCATGTGAGTGTGAGATAGACGGACAGACAGAGATAGTTAGAGAGAGAGAACACAATGGAGATGGAGAGCATGCGAGAGAGTTACTGTCGTCACTGCATCACAGTTACTGTTTTTAACTCTACATGTTAATATTGTTATCAGTGGTGTTTTTGAAAAAGCTTTAAAGGCCTCATATCATGGAAATTTCTCACTTTTTTTAAATAAATAAGAGTTCGACGTAGTTTAAATATATACTATTCACCCTCCAATCAACACAGTGCGGATAGATAAACTAGCACATTTAAAATCTACTGTTTTTATGATGTGACGAAAACCAACACATCTCCATATATCCGCCTAGTCAGCATACAGCAGTTTAGCCCCGCCCATTCACACTGAAGTTATAAGGAATGTTTCAGCCTGGACTGCTTTTTAATTGAGGTACAATACAGGGCAGCCAATCAGAACACAGCTCATTTACATATCTTAAAGGCACAGTAATAAAACACATCCTAATTCTCAAAGATAAAGGCTACGTTCACATTACAAGCCTCATTGCTCAAATCTGATCTCGGACACGATTCGTTTGTTCACACTCGTTCAGGTAGGTTATTCATATCTGTCATTAATGTGACGAACCGGCGTCCTGAAATGACCCTAATGCGCTCATCCTACTCAGTAACGTCACGTGAATGAATCACGTGCATCATCAGCACAAACTAACGAGCAGAACGAGCTTCGCTGAGAAGATCATTAACTCTGATCAGCTCTCAGCTTCATTATTAGAGCGAGACGAAGGAGAAAAAGGGGAGATGAGCTGCTTTTCCACCGTTTACAGGCTTTAACTTCTGTTCAGCGCTGTTGCCATGGTAACACTGAATGATGGCGCAGTGGAAAAAAAGCGCATGAATTCCGATCTAAGCATTCTCACTAAGGTCGCAAGGCCACGAATTGGATACGCATCCGATCTAGGACCACATATGAAAGTGGCTCAGGTCGGATTTGAGAGGATCAGATTTTTGTCCACACAGCCCTGAAAAACGTCAGATCTGAGTCACATTAAGGCATGGATTTGTCCACTTCAGCCTGGTAATGTGAACGTAGCCCTAGTCAGCATACAGCAGTTTAGCCCCACCCCTTCACACTGAAGTTATAAGGAATGTTTCAGCCTGGATTGCTTTTTAAATGAGGTACAATACAGGGTAGCCAATCAGAACACAGCTCATTTACATATATCAGTCTTACAGGCACAGTAACAAAACACAGTTATATTCTCATGGATGAGGAAAAGTTGGAAATGGCCAAGAGAAAAATGAATGACCTAAGTGAATTTGGTACATACACCAATGTTCTCAGAGCAGGAGGTACCACAGCTTGTTTCGGAGTGTATATATAAGGCGGAGGTGACGACAGCGCAATCTCACTCCAACATCAGAGTAAACACGTTCATGTGTTTGCCCTGTCTGACCATTATGTTCCTCCGCGAGTTTCCGGAGAGATTCTTTTGTGAGCTCTTTTTACTCCTCAAGAGCAAATTTCCTCTTCCATCTCACCTCATTTTCCTGCTCCTTTCAGAAAAAGAGGAGTGTCCTGTGTAAAAGCCCACAGAGGGGCCCACCAAGCTAAAGCTCCTGCCCTGTAAATCCTGTGGATTACTATCCACTGTGAGGGTGACGACAGGGCCAGCGACGTCCGCTTTAAAAATGGCTAAACA